TCAATATGTATTTTCTTTTTCAGAAATGGTATCTAAATACCAATGTGTGCGGTTTTACTGGTCTTCTAGAATACATAATTGAGAACTGGATTTTTTTTATAAAAAAAAAACATGTTTGTGTTAATAGATATTAGAGGAGCATTGCAAATAGGTAAAATTGCACCCCCAAAAAAATGATAAGTAAAATTGCACTTAAAAAAAGATTGGAGTGCTAGGTGCTCCAAAAAGATTGGAGTGCTGGGCATCTTTTTATCCTAAAAAAAATTATAAAAGAAAACCTATATAATGGCTTTATGAATTATTTTATTGAAAAATGAGATTTTTTTGAGACCACTGCAATTTAAGAAGATAAAATCGCTATACAAAATAGTTACTATTAATAAGTGAATTAAATAATAGAATAATAATTACTAATAATAAGTATTTTTTAAAAAAAAATCCTATGACAGGATGACCCTATCCTATGTCACATCCCATACTGTCTTGGAATATTTTCTGTCCCATCCTATTCTGAATTGACCAAGACTAGATCAAAACAGTCAGGATAAGATAAGTTAAACACCTCTAACTATAATGGTATGCTTAATTAGTACGGTGAAGTGTTGACGTACAATTATTCCAAGTCCCAACACAAAATAAATTATAAATACCCCTTGTTTTCGGTTCCTAAAAAATCTCGTTAATTTTTCATCATGGACTTTTTAGAAAAACTTCACTAATTACAAGGCATTATGTTTTTAAATATAGGGAAAATAGAAAAATACCTTATGATTTGATCGAATGAATATGAAGTAAGTACTCCCTCCGGTCAAAAAAAAAAAAAAAAGAAGTACTCCCTGGATTCCTAATATAGGAGCGGATTGTGAATTGAATTTAATCATAAATATAAATTTTAACTTACTTTATCTTACACATTTACTATTTTTTTAAATTAATTTATACCTCACCGTAGATTAACATACTTTTTTAATTTTATTTATAAATAACTTCCAGCATAATTCACACAACCAAAAAAACCTTTAATTTGTTAACTTTCGTTTAAAATTTAACACCTTTTCAACTTTATCTCTATTTAATATATATTATACTTCATGTAAACAAAGTCAACATAATATAAAATGAAGAGTAAAATTATAAATGCATACCAAAAAATTTTCTTAGTGCTTTATAAAATATGATCAAAAATATTTTTCTTTCTGCCCTATAAATAGGACCAGAAAAGTATAATTTAATATTAGATACAAGGTATCTTAAGATTATCATCTCATAATTTTTATAATGGATTAATTTATCCAGCTTCCTTCATTGTTATTGTTTATCTAACTTCTTAAGTATATCAAAATTAATTAAGTAACTCTTATATTAATGTCAAAGCTAGTATTAATTATAGCCAAACGGAATTTTAAAAAAAAATACTGAGATTTTTTGTCATCCTTTATCCAGCAAAAGGAGCTCATGTACTTATCATATTTACAAAAAGTCAAACAACGCAACTTCATGTTTGAATAAAAGTTTAGAAAGGTGATAAGTATCTGTTGAATAAATGACTCTCACTTGTGCTATGATTTATATGTAGAGACAAAAGGAAAGTGAAGATTAGGACTAATAATGAAAAATGTATGAACTATAGTTATCCGGCCCATAGAATCATCAGCATAAGTTAAAATTTCAAAGTATCTTTGAGGTTAACATTAAACCAAATTTACATACCAAAGACAACTAGCTTAGGCGATTTGGCATCCAGTAAAGTTTGGATTTAATTTAAACCTTAAATAGAAAAAGCTATGGTAGGAACTAGTAGGAAGAGTTTTGCACTGTGATGTCCCATATGCAACTTAATTTAAAATAAAATCAGATAGTAACATTCTGTAGATTTGAAACAGAATGTCTGTAAAGTCAACGTTGTTCCTTGGGCCGATCATCTCGTGCTTCATTCAAAGGTCGACAAGGCGACTCTCAGAAACCTTGAAATGGTCAGCGTTGAAACTTGAAGCAGAACGAGCAATTAATTGATTGATTGATTACTCAAGAAAAAAATATAACTTTAAATATTTTAACTTTCTCAATTACTCCCTCCAGTTATTATTCTAAGTTTCAAATAACTAATCTGCTGATAACAAATAATTAATTAAAATTAGTTAAAAGTACTCCCTGTGGTTCAAAATATAAGCTAAACTTTATTAGAGGGGCTTATTTTTTTTATAAGATAACATTCACTTTTGTCTAAGTATTTAATGAGTTTTTGTAATTGCACCACACATATATTCTCTTTCTTCTTTGATTTATTTATTGTATCTTTATTTATTCTCTTAGTTAATAAGGGCATACTTGGAAAGAAAAAATAGATACATTGCTTATTTATTGTTTTAGACTGATTTTAACTAATTTCTTGATAAACGTAAATAGATAAAGTTTAGCTTATATTTTGAATCAGATGGAGTAATAAATAGGTTAGAAATATATTTTTGTTATCAAATATGCCCATATAATAAAAGAAACAGGCTAAAAGAGAATGTGTGAGAAAATGTGATAATAGAGGTTATAACGAAGAAGCGAGAATAAATAATTAAGGATAGTTAAATTAGGACAAACTCAAATTTAAGCTCATAAATTCCCAAATTTGAAGTTTATAAATAAGATTGGAGGGAGTATTAATTTAGTCACATCTCAATTTTTATACTACTCCGTCTCTTATTATAAGATTCAATTTTTTGAATGGGTCTGTCTCTTTTTATAAGATCCTCTTTGAGTTTGTTTGAACATTAATGTATTATTACCTATTTTACCTCTAATTTAATATATCTAATACATTCTCTTTCTTCATTTATCTCACTATCACCCTCTCACACATTTATCTATTTATATATAAAGCTATATTTGAAAAAACAATTGTATTTGTTACATATTAATTGTTTTTAACTAATTTTAATTGTTTTCTTAAACCACGTAATTTAATTGAAAGGGTCTTACAATAAGGGACAGAGGAAGTAAGTTGCCTCCGCTCGGAAATCAGAACAATTCAATTTTTATAACTTTGTAAATTACTATAACTTAGTCTTTATGATTTTTTTTAATTTAATAAACTATAAGTAATGAGTTGTATGAGTCAAAATTTAGATATTAATTGATGATTGAAAAACAAATAAGGATTACAAATTTTAGTATTCCATTAATTAATAATAATAACAACTTTGTTAAATGTTGAACACTTCAAAATTAGCCTGTCTTTGTTTCAAATGCACACAAAGCTTGCTTCAAGGTTTGGCATGTATTGTATATTTAGCATAGGTTATGAATGAAACAATTTTGGAGGCCACCTCTTCGCACGTTATGGCAGCTGGATCTAATCATAAGTAAGCATAATTTGTGCCGTTGATTAGTCATACTAATTTAAATTATGCATTTAGTCAACTAATGGCTTAGATTTAAAAAAAAAGAAAATGCTTTATTTGAATATTTTGTTGTGATTAACTTCATTACAAAGAAAAAAAAAAAAAATGTCCGGATTATTCCTCTCTCCCAGTGGTGCTAGCAAGTAGTAACCACGTTGTAATATTTATATAATATATCAACAAACTATTTAAATAAAAAAGAACATTGATACACAAATAAATGGTACATATATGACAAACTATTGTTTTTTAAAAACTAAAAAGACATCATTTCAAACTCAATAATAAAAAATAAAAATAAATTTAGCTCACAATGATCTACTCAAAACCCTTTCGAGAATGGCCATGCATGATCAATGGGTGGGGCTTAGATTTATCAAAGCTGATGGAGATGATGAGAAACTCAACGTGGGATTTTTTTTAGTATTCATCATCTTTGGTAAGTAGTAGTAGGATCTCAATAAGCCCTTTAATCTAAAAATATGATATTAGAATATGATCATTGTATGTGGATTGATATTTTTATAAATCCCGATAATTGTGGGTTGTATCCTTCTACCACACTTATTAAAACCAAAACAAGGAATAATTATGTGTTTGAAAAATTTTGATTATCTTCAGCACAAAATTTTCTCAATATCCTTAACTACTCTTTCAAAACATACTCTTTCAAATCTCTCCTCAATATATTCTGCATATTTTGCCTACAATTTTTCAACCTAACCACTTCAAATTTTTCTTAAGAGGCCGTTGCTCATCTTCTAAGACTAAAATTTTATTTTTACTTCAAATCTTACTAAAATTGCTAATCAATTTTTTTTTAAATTTTCATTCATCTCTTATTTATATATGGTCTTTTATTTAATATTTGTACTACACATAAGGTAAGTTCTTTAAATAATAATAATTTTAAAATAAAAATAATATTTAAATATTCATATCATTTATTAAATTATATTTAATAAAAATTTATTATTAAATATAATAATTATGAAAATGAAAACAACTTTATTAACTTTATGTCCTTTTTTAGTAATTATACATCCATAAGTGAATTTAATTAATAAATAAACCAACATATCACAATTCTTAAAATCACTTATAAAAAAAAATATCCAAACAAAATCACGATTAACCAGTGTCACTTATAAAATTCATGATTATCTAAAATCATAATTGTTCACTGCTAATCCAAATGGGCACTAAAATCTTTGATTAATTTGCATGATACGTGGATTTAATTTTTTTTTTTCATATTCTTTAAAAAGAATTATTTTAATTTATATAAAATTTAAAATAAAAATAATCTCTTAAATGTTATTTTTTTCGAAGAGATTTTTTTTCATTTAAAAATAATTAGTTGAGAATTTCAAATCTATAACATTCAAATTATATTTAAATCATGGGGATGCAATTACATTGATGAATAATGATGCTGATGACTGAAATAAGCACAAATGGGGCCCACCTGTTTGGTGACCTGCGGTAGAAGTCAAAAGAGCAAAACCCTTCTTTAAATTGAAGTCAAAACGAGCAATAAAGCTTTTGTATAAATAGAAGCATCGCTGGGCACAATACAAGCATGCATGCCAAGCAACAACATCAACAATGGCTATCCACAACGTCCTTCTCCTCCTCTCCTCTCTCCTTCTCACAACCCTAACTCCATCTCTGTCATCATCCCCGACCTTCATCAGCATCGACTGTGGCTCAAACTCTTCAATAGCCGACGGCGACATCTTCCAATGGGACGCCGATGACTCTTACGTTCAGAACGGAGACTCCCACGTAGTTCAATACACCAGCACAGTCCCTCTTTACATGAGCGAAACCGCCATGTCCACTCTCAGGGCTTTCCCCACCTCAGGAAGAACTGCTACACCGTCAAAGTCGGTAAGGGACAGAAGGTTCTGATTCGAGCAAGCTCTTCTATGGAAACTACGACGGCAAAGACTCTCCTCCCACCTTTGACCTTCACTTGATGGCAATTTCTGGGCCGCCGTCAACACTTCGAGCCTGAGAGGCGTGTATCATGAGGCCATTTATGTTACCAAGAAGAACACGACCAGCGTTTGTGTTGCTCAGACATTTAAGGATCAGATTCCTTTCATTTCTGGGTTGGAGATTCGGAGCTTAGAGATGAGCATGTACAGTCATGTTGATTCTGGGCGTGCTCTTCCTGTCTAACAGAGCCAACGCTGGTGCAAATTTCAGCACTAGGTATATTCTTATGATCTCCCTTTATTGTCATCTTCATATTATATACTCAGGTCGTTAACGTGAGAGCCGACTTAACTACTTTGGAATATCTTATATTCTTATGATCTCTTCAGCTATTTAACGCAAGTTATTTTCACAGAACTTGTGGAATGTCCATGCAATTTACTGTATTATTTATTTGTAAGCTAACGAATGATGATTGAACGAAAACTGACAGGTACCCAGATGATGCTTATGATCGGATCTGGAGAGCAGAAGGTGGGTTTGTGTTAGTGGAAAATTTGGTAAACGAAGCTCCATCCATTGACGCGAGCAAAGCAGAAGATCAACCACCTCTTTCTGTTCTTCGAACTGCAACCACAACCACAGGAACTTTATGGGGCATTGTTCTTAACACGGACCTTCCTTCCACAAGCGAACCTATCTATATCACAGCCTACTTCTCTGAAGTCACTCGCCTTCGTTCCAACGAAACAAGATCCATTCAAGTTGAGATCAACCAAGTCCCTTATTCACAACCTTTCGTCCCTCCTTTTGGAGCTGTATCGGAGCTTCGCATCGCAAACAGAAATGCAAATTCAAACACAAGTGTGGCTGTTTTCGCAGACAGAAGTTCCAATCTTCCTCCTCTGCTTAATGCCTATGAAGTCTACACTGTTAGTGGTGCACTTACTGATGGAACCGACAGTGACGATGGTTTGGCTTTTATTTACTTTACACTGTTTTAAGGATTCTGTTTTTTGGGCCTGTCATCTGTCATTCTGAGATTGTTTGGTTCTGTTCTTGGTAATGCAGTGGAAGGATTAGCAGCACTGCAGAGAAATTTTGGTGTGCTTCAGAAATGGAGTGGTGATCCTTGTCTTCCATCTTCATTTTCATGGAATGGCTTGAATGCAACTCCGATGCCTCCCCACGTGTCACCACATTGTAATCCTCATCATGCTTTGTCTCTCTGTCTTCTTTTTTTTTTTCTTTTCTTTTTGGTAAAATAAATTGGTGAGACGCACTGATCACATAGACTGCTTTCATTTCTACAACTTTAACAGATATATGAATATTGATCAGAATTTTTTTTTGGTAGCAATATATATATATATATAATTGCCGTGTGATCAAATGGTGTTGGCTTTTTGTATGTGGCCTGACACAGGAATCTTGGAGGCTATGGCTTATCAGGACCACTGCCGGACTTCAGTTCCATGTTGACCTGAAGTGAGAAATGTAAGCTGCAACGAAACACTAAAACATCTTATGATTAGTGTGGCCTCTCTTGTGTACTGATGTTTTGATGTGTTGTCTCTAAAACTGGCAGTGATTTGCATAACAACAGCTTGTCGGGACCAATTCCCAGATTTCTTGGTTCATTTCCAAAACTGAAATTGCTGTGAGTACTAATACCACAACCAAATAATTAATGCAGTACTTCCAAATTGAAACAAGCTTCATATACTTGTTCATGTTTCCCAGGAATTTAGCAGATAATAGATTCAGTGGAACCATACCCAAATCGCTGTCTCAAAATAAAAACTTGAAACTAATGTGAGTTTATCTGTACCATAGTCTCTCTCTTGCACAACTTTTCTGGTTGCTTTTCTCTCCATTTTTCTGGATCGTCATTTTTGCTCTGCATGTTTGCTGTTAATCTAATATGACCCTTCCATGTATCAGTCTGACAGGTAATTGCTTATCTGGCATGTCATGTCCACCATTACCACCTTCAACCCCTTTCCATGAATCGCCGCCGTCGACCACCACCTTCTCATGAAACGCCGTCGGCGCCTCCTTCAACCCAACCTTCTCATGAAAAGCCGTTGACACCACCACCTTCAACCCCTTCTCATGAAACGTCGTTAACACCGCCGCCTTTCAACCCCTTCTCATGCAACGCGGTCGGCACCGCCGTCTTCTCATGAAAACCAGTGGGCACTGCCGCCCTCACCCCTTCTCATGAATCGCCGTTGACACCACCACCTTCACACGAAACGCCGTGGGCACTGCCGCCTTCAACCCCTTCTCATGAATCGCCATTGACACCACCACCTTCACATGAAACGCCGTGGGCACTGCCGCCTTCAACCCCTGCTCATGAATCGCCGTCGACACCACCACCTTCAACCCGTTCTCGTGAAATGCCGTTCGCAGGAATGCCTCCATATGGGGCAGCTGAAGGACCAGTTGCTGGTTCAGGTGTTCAACCAGGTGGCTCAGAGAGCAGGAAGATGACATTGAATCCACAGCCATACTCTCTTTGTCATTGCTTTTGTTGTTCTCTGCATCTGAGCAACTACTAGGAAATTCGTCTGCAGCATTTGAATGAATCGAAGCAACGGATTTTTCCACTTCTCTAATGTTTTTTTTTTAATGTAAAGCAAGTGACATTTTGATATTTTATGAGAAGTGAGAGAAATTCAAGGGGCATACGCCCCAATCCCAAGGGCTTCATTTTGAGTTCAGATGGAGATATCAATAATGACCGGATATATTAAGGGAGCTTGTCTTGATTCACTTTGTTTTTATGGATCCTATCCCACATCTCTGTGAAAAGAATGATATTTAAAATCATCAGTTTTCTAATATCAATAAAAAAATCAAATGCAAATAACATTTTCAAAAATATTCAACTAACTGAACCTAATATAAAGTTATACTCGAAATTTTGAATAGTATTTAAAATGCTCTATTTTTTTTTATCACATACTAATATGTTGGGCAATAGACATCATCTTAAAAGGGGGGGAAAAAACTTACATACTTATAAGTTTATATACCTAATGTACTTGTTTCCATTCAAATTAAAGACATTGGCATTATTCTATCCATGATTTACCCTCTAACTAACTGTTGTTAATATATTTTATTTTTTGAAAACTTTAAAAATCCACTTGTACAAATTTGATTAAAAATAAATCTACTTATACATAAGTCTTCTCCTATATTAAAATTCATAGGTATATTCATGAAAAGTCATAAATACCTAAAATCTTTACAAATTATTTACACTTAATAACCATATTATAAGTCTTATTTGAGCCTCTTTGTGGCTAGATGACATGTTTAACCTGCATTCCAATCAATGGGGATTCTTCCCAAATCTGTCGGGGGAAAAAAAAATTGTCCCAAAAGGTTGCTATTATGGTTATTTTTCCTTTATAATTAGGCTAATTGTATTCTTAGTAAGGTAAGGTGTTAAAATACCAAGTCCCGACACGAAAAGAAAGAATAAACGCTCCTTATTTTCTCGTGACGTAATAAGTTCTTTTATACATTAAGCAATCAGCTTATTCACGTTTGAATTAAGTGTTTAAAATTCTTCATCATTCTAAATACGAGGGTTACTTATTAAGAATTTATTTTAATCCTAGATAATATATTAATATTCTTTATCTCCAACAATTATTTTTTAAAAAAAATTACTCCCATTTTCATTGTACACATCTATAAACATTTTAATAAATAATTAAATTAACAAATTTTGATAATATATTCTTTTTTTCGGGTTCGGGTCTAAATAAATTATAATATTAAAAAAGACTATCAACATCTATATTATGTGAAATTAGTTTTTTAATTTTATTTTTTTACCTTTTTATTTAGTGTCATAATACTGCAGAGTTACTTGAAAATTTAATTTGTTTGTAAGCATAAGACCCAATTTAATTTATTTAATGTCATAATACTACATAATTAGGACCGAAGGTAGTATTTATTACAAATAACTAATTTAAACTAATTCCTTAGTATACTCAAATTAGTAACTAGCTCTTATCAAATGTAGTATAAGATAGTATTTTTAATTGAGAACATTTTAGAGAAAAAATCCTTAATTCTCTCCTTAAAAAACCACAAGGAATAAATAGAGGAAAACAGAAAATTCCTTATAGTTTTGAGCGAGCGAAGCACTCCCTGATGCCTGATATAGGAACCAGATGATGGTTAAATTTGGTGACAAATATAGAATTTATAATTATTTTATCTCATTTACAATATTTTCTCACAAAAACAAATATTTAATCTATAAATTGATATATAATCTGATATTATATTAGGGTAGTTTAAATATTTAATCCCTATAATTTCATTTTGCTAGAAAAATTATAATTTAGAATTGAAACATGTTAATCATAAAATGGAACGTGTTAACTTTCAAGATTGTATTTTGATAGAATTTTATTTAAAGACTTATTACAGCGTCTCATGGAAACAAAAGTTGTTAATTTAGAATTAAATGTTTTTAGCTATGAAATGAAATGTGTTAATTTTCAAGGTTATATTGT